CTTAAGACATAGTGTTGACAATATTTCCTCAAGCTACAAATTCCTATTTTGACTCCATTTAACAGTTGTAATATTTAGCAGAGTCAAAATAGGGACTTGTAGCTTGAGGAAATAATGTCAACACTATGTCTTGAACCTTAAGCTTGTTTGTGTACTTTTGTTGCACTTGCATCTTCACTTTAAGCTACCTATCTTGTTTCTGTAATTTTTTGAAAATCCCTATTCTCCATTTTTAAATTACCAATTTTTAATAATCTTGTTATATAAGAATTAATGTCTTAATTTGCTGAGTAAATATTTAAATAAAATCTTAAACTCACAGTATACGACATTAGTGACTTAACTTTTTCAAATCTGTCTTTAATAGCTTACCTACAACCCCTTTTTGAAGTACAAAGGTTAACATAAATTGATTATACTACAAGGTAGTCAAATAAACGTAAAATCTACACTACACAATGTGCAATGATGCATTTAGCAATAGTGTCCAGGTTTTGTTGCAACACTCACAGCCATTTTTGCTCTAGGCTATAGGCTGGTGGAACAATATTAAATAATAAAGAACACATGGGTGATTCCTAATATGAACCACTACTGTGGTTCATGATAATCCCTTTTCACACCACATGTTTAACATAGGCTCCATGTTTACTGATAACAGCCCACATTTTGACTGCCATATTGTTCACCACTTCAAGGAATGTTTGTAGGGGGATATTTCCAACACCAGACCTCCCAGGAACTGATATCCAGGTGGCGGTTGGATGGGGGACTTGTGTTAGTTAACCCTGCTCTGATCCAACATCTAACCATCTGGGAAGTAGGATGAGGGGAACTTCTGTTGGCTGGTCCTACACTGATCCAACACCAGACCACTCAGGAACCAAAACTCGGGTGGTGGTGGTAGGATGGGGGATGTTGGCATGGTATGAATATAAACATATGAGAAGTGACTTTGCTACACTGTCAGTGTCACCACCATCTCATCACTGAATTTAGACTTAATTTTCATCCCCTGGCTATGCTGTCTCAATCAGTGAGGCTTCTCCATGGTACACCACCCCAGCTCTACTTGAAGAAAAAAGGGGAGAAGAATTTGCAGTGGGGATACTCTGAGAAATGTACCCGGACCTCATCAATCGCCTGCCACATAAATCTGTTACTAGAGACAATGCAATTGGTAACTGCATAGTCCTATTTAGAAAAGCCAGCAAGTGCAAGCCAGTGAAACAGGCAGAGCAGCCCCTGGTGATGGCTTTTTTCATGATAGTCCATGGAATAGGTATGGCGTGGACTGAGGTCAGTGAGTACTCTATTAGTTAGGCAAGCAGTAACCCACAGGTGACAAAACAGCCAGATGGTGAAGATAGTGGGCAAAGAAGATGGGAGATGTAGTCTAGCGGATCTCATCAAGCAGCTTTTGGAAACAAGAGATAATGGATTTAATAAGAATTAGTATGGAAAAAGGCAACTGGAAATGATCCCTAATGAACAGTAGACAAAATACAGTAGATGGCAGATCCATTCCCTGGACGAAGAATACAAAGATGAAAGTCATGAATGGTACGATACGGGCAAAGCAGCACCAGACAGCATGAATAGGACAAAACAGACAGTCTTCATCAGTGCAATCATAGAGGAGTGAAATAGTTGGGAGGGAAAATGGAAAAAAAGGAGTGGCAACCTTCCAGAGCTGCAGAAGTTTAGGAAGGTACATCAGTCAGGATATGGAGAAAGTATGGACAATGTAAGAGGGTAAAGGAAGAGTTGATAGCACAGATGACTGTACAACAGCAACCACTGGCAAGGAATAAGAGAAAACATGTTCCATGTGAAAGGTGGAATAATGAGGAAGTGTTCATTAGTTCGAAAGGGGCCTAGGTAAAAGCACACAAGGTCCAGGTCCCAATTGGGTATGGGAACAGGGTGGGAAGGTCAGTGAAGAAGAAAGGATCAGAACAAGATGTATTCCCAAAGACGTGCATACCTCAGTAGAAAGCCTCCTATGAGGTCCATATCTGCACTGGACGCACCAATGAGCCCTGTGAGACTGATGATGGGCCACAAACTGATAAGTGGAAGAAGAAGGACAGGAAGAGGGGAAGGAAATACAGGAATAGTAGGACTAGGACAAGACACATGAATGGAACTTGTGGTTTGGGACAGGCAAGCAATCAAGGATGTGAGGTAATGGAATCAGGAATAGCAACCAACATAGATGGGTGGAAAAAATGGTGTGAGGTGGAGGTACTGAAAACGAGGGAAGGCAGACATGAGACAGAATGAAAAACAAGAAATGATCCAAGTGAATAGGGAAACAGCAGAAGTATGAGTAATGATGTAAGGAGAATGTAATGTGCCTCCATTAGCCAAGTTAGAAATATGAATAGTGTGAGGATATTGCTAATTCATTCCAGTTGTAGAAGTAACATGAACTTGAGAGTTCATAGTTAGATTAGAAAAAGGAAACAATGTACCATTATTAGCAAATCTCTGTAAATTACAAGCAAAAACAAACATATCTTAGGCATGCAGTGTCAAGGAAAAAGAAAGAAAATCACAAGTGCAAAATAATAAAGGGAGCTAGTGTGCAGGAAGGCTGTGTCGCCCATCTATTGCTAGAGAACTTTTGTTGCATAATAATATCATCGTGCATTAGCACGAATCACAAAAAAACTTGTGAGTTTAGGTGGGGGTTGCTTAAAGGCTAGTGGCATGCAAATATCTAAGGCAGGCACATGGGGAAGATGGCTTTATGTCTGAAAAAATTTGTATTTCCTTGGAATTAAACTTTATATATTATTTTAAAAAAATTGGTTTATTAACTACATTTTAATACCAAGTTTATTCCTAAACATCAATAATAAAACAGTTTAATTACATTTTTAATGTCTTCCATGCACACCTTTACTTACTATATCAAGAGGATTAATTCAGGAGTCATTTATTTTTATTTATCCAAGTTTGGTATAAATTTGTAAAATGCTCATCATATAATATTAAAATCCTGGTTTTAACAACAGAAAATTTGTTTTCTGTTCATTCCCAACACTCAATCTTACAATAGAACAAGTTTCCCTTATGTTACAGACAAGGTTTGTGTATTAAACTCCGTGTCATGTATTGAAATGCAGCTGCCCACTACCTACATAAGCTCTCCTAGCATAAAGAAATGATGGACAAGTCTTGGTCACAGTTAACTAATTATTAGCAAGTAAGATAAAGACCTATCACACTTTCTTAAATAGAAATGACTCTCATATTTGTCGTCTAAAAAACATCATATGTGAAATAAATGTTAAGTTTAGAGGTTGGACCTAATTTTTTCTCATCACTAAAGTTACCAAAGCAAAGTATTCCTACTCCTGTAAAGGTGTCAAAATGTTAAGCATACAACACTTGAAAGAACTTATATTCATACACACATTTGGTTAGAAATTAAACCTGGCACATAGGTACAAAATATAACAGAATTTTATCTCAATAAAACAAGCCCTTCATACATGGTCTTGGCCTTTTCCCATGTGTCACTCCAAACATAAACTCCATGTCGGCGAACAAGTATTGCACAAGTTTCAGGATATTCTTCCATTGCTTTAGCCATTCTGTCCTGAAACAAACATTAACAAGTTAAAGTTAAACAAACTTATAGAAAATTGTAAATATTATCAGATCATGATTTTTCACAAGTGCTAAATTAATTATCTTACTTCAGTAAGAACATGAAACACAACATTAGCCTTTTTACAGTAAGTGTTTCAGGTAGGCATGACAAAACAAATGAGCGGGATGCACTCTACATTTTTTTAAGAACACAGACTGTAGTACTTATGACGTGAACCACCTTTAGCTTTTTCAGCATGGGCTTGGTCCCTGGGACCAATCTTGTAACCATTTTGTGCTTGTTATAGTTTATAATTTTCATGCTATAACTTTTAAATTAGTAAATGAATGTTAACGAAATTTTGCAGATTATCAGTAAACATTACAATGCCTTCATACGCAAAATATCAAATTTATTTATTAAGTGTTAAGGTTTATAAAGCAATGTTTTTCTTATGTCTATTTTTTCTTTTCACATGTTGCCCATCTATTACATAAAGTAATATTAATTTAAGATTAAAAATACTTTTATGCATCATAAAATTTTGAAATTTCACATGCAAAATCTTTAGAATGCCAAGATAATTATTAAATGTTTCTTAAGGAAAAACTATATTTTATTTGTTATTTTCAGTAATTAATC